ATGGATTCGTCCAGCACCTCTGACGAAGCTGGGATCTTCGGGTCGGCATCTAGGTTGACGAGAGTCGCTTCGTCTACCTCTTCGGGTGGAAGCACCTCTGTTTCCACCCCTCTGTCAGCTCCTCCTCCACAGTCACAATGCTGTCCTTCTCAGGATCCTTCAATCTGCTCACGCGGGCCCTTACCATATTGAAGAGGAAGCAGATTTTCTCCTTGGGGAGGCCTTGAGCCGCCCTCCTGTCCTCGTACCGGAAAAGGCACCAATTAGCTATGTCCAGATGTCGATTCTGTCCCGCTAAAATGCGAAGTACGTTCTCCTTCTTGGATGTAACTGCTTCGCAGTGCTGGATCCAAATTTGGATCCTTCATAAAGAGGGTAGATCAGCCTCCCTAACCACGCTAAGTGTTATGCAATCTATAGGCGCAAGCAGCGGTACTGTCGCCTTCAGCCACGCTAACGAAGCATCATCATTGCAGGCGATTTTTAAAATCTGTCTTACATCCTGCCTCTTCCTCTTTGATTCCCTCAAAGAGGATTCTTTGGAAGTGGCGAATCTCTGCCGCTTGGGTTGCTCCTTAGCCTATCCCTGGGTGCGAGCGTCAACCTTCCCGCTATGTTACGATTGGTAAGCCTTGCTCCCCGTCGGTGGCTTGTAAAGGGCCCGACTGGACCCTGTAGCGGAGTTTCGGGCAGAAGCTATTTTTCGCCTTACTTCTCCTTTTGGCTTGTATTGTTGTTTGACACCCTATTCTTGTGTCGCCGATGGTGGACTTCAGTGAAGCCCTGCCCATCAGACGATCCTGCCCATCAGAAGGCAGGACCGGAGACCAACTTGGGGTGAGATTGCTAAATACTCACCGGCTGTGAAGACATACTGGGCGCAATGGAATTCTTCCGTCCTGAACGACGACTTGAAGATGCAGATGGTGGCGACGTGAGGTATCAGATTGTTATTTTTCGTTGCAGAATTCCGGAAGTTCTAACTGAAATTCATAATGGAGTCACCGGAGGTCACCTGGGCATAACTAAGACTCTTAACAAGTTAAGAGAGAGGTTTTATTGGGCGAATTGCAAGGATGACGTTAAAGATTGGTGCAGGAAGTGTGTGGCAAGATTCTGCGGCCAAAAGAAAATGGGCACAAAAAAGCACCAATGTGACAATATAATTCGAGTGAATTGCCATTGACGTCGCTGGTCCATTCCCCTAGACTAACGGAGGCAATAAATACTTCAAATGCAAATGGATGCAAGCTTATGCCTTTCCAAACCAGGAGACCGCAATGATAGCGGATGCCTTCGTTGAGGACTGGATCTGCAGATTCGGTGTACCTTTGGAGTTACACTCCGACCAAGGTCGAAATTTCGAGTCGGCGCTCTTTCAAAATGTCTGTAGGATGTATGTAGTTTCACGTGGGGATCAGTTACTTCACAGCACTTAGGCCCCTGCGGCCCTTTGTACGTCCCCACAATTTACTGTTCATTCAAGGGTCAGAAAACCAGCCTAATCTTTTCATGAACGTTAATATACAACAGAAAGTATGTTCCTTATATTCGAAATTTGGAGCCATGGTACTCCGAAAATGGATTTCCTTAAGTACGCGAGGTAGGGACAGTCACAAACAATATGATTTACCGTCTCGTCTTCCATTTCACACCCTCTACAGAGGGGTGTATTCGCCAGCTTCATGTAAAACATGTGCTTACGTAACCTGCAGTGTCCGGTCAGGAAATGGGTGAGAAGCCTCAAGTCACTTTTTGATTTTCCCAGAAACTGAGTAGATGTCTTCCGGTCAGGGTAGAGCAAAGTTTTCTTAGCGTATCCTTTAGAGTATCCCATCTGTCGCAAAAATCTCGGTGGGAGATGGAATTTATCAGTTTTAATGCTGTATTAACAGCTAGTGCTACAAACGGTTCAGGGGAGATCGGTGACTTGTTAGGTGCCCGTTTCGCCAGCATAGCCTGTCTGCTATCAGTACAGATTACAACGTTTCTGCCGACTTTTTTGGAGTAGATAATCGCATCGGCTGCTATGTTTATAGCAGTTAATTCGGCTTGAGCAGTCGTGCAATACGATCCTAACAAAGTGGAAAGGTGCAGCTGGAGATGGTGCCAGAAAATTCCCGCTCCGGAACCTCCAGCCTTCTTTGATCCATCAGTGTAGATGGTCAGCGTTTTGCCCGAGCTTGAGTTGCTCTGGGGTATCGTTTCACTGCCAAAGTGTGGCTTGCCTAAGGAAATAGGTGTAATGTAGTCTGTGCGAGCTTTAAGGAGGGGTTGTTTACTAACAGCCTCACTCCAGAGCTTGCTCCGTACTATTCCCATTTTAACAACCTGCTTTTCATTTACTGATCACAGTCGAAGTAATGCCACCACGGCCACCTTTTTGATAAAAATATCTATGGGCAGCACGTTCAGCATAGTCTCCATTGCAATCGTAGGTGTAGATCTCATAGCGCCTGCAATTGATGCAGCAATATGGGTGTTTTAGTGCTGAGCACCAAACTATTGCTCCCTGAGCTACCATGGGTCTTATCACAGAAGTGTAGATCCACATTATAACTTTCGGATTAAATTTTTTGGCACTGGGTCAGTACAATCGTTGCTTTTTTGGTTTTGCAACTAATGTGTGATGTCCAAGTTAGTTTTTTGTCCAAGATAACACCCAGATATTTCAGCTCTGGAGCAAAGGTTAATGGATTATTGCAGAAATACCCAATTTCTGCAATAATCCATTAAGTGTCCCAGTTTCTTCTATTTAGTGAAGAGAACAGTCTCTGTCTTTTTAGGATTGACAGAAAGGGTATGTTCTTCATACCATCGTTCAACAAGTTTAAGTGCCTGCACGAATGAGATCAACAACTATTACCTTGTGGGCAACCCTTAACCACAGCTCTCTGTACTATGTGTCTTTTCGCCTTAGCCTGAACAACTCTGCTTGCTAGCATTGTTTTTATCAAGCCCGCGATGACTAATCGGCACTTTTCGAGATTCCAGGCTAATGCTACTAAAGGTGGTTCTGTCAAACGCTCCCTCTATGTCAAAGAAAGTTCCCAGAATGGACTCTTTCGAATCAAGTGCTTGTTCGATGCACCCCACTACCATGTGTTTTGCGCTATCCACAGATTTACCTTTGATATAAGCATGTTGGTACAAAGGAAACGCTTTAAGTACATTCTCTCTAATCTAATGTTCACATAGTCTTTCAAGCGTCTTTAAAAGAAATAATGAGAGACTAATTGGTCGAAAGGCTTTAGGATCCGCTGGGTCCTTTTTTCCATTCTTTGGTATAAAGGTTACAGTAACCTTCCTCCAGCTGATGGGAACGTAATTAAAGGCTAAGCAGGCTTTAAAAACTCTCATCAAGTGTATTTTCATATCCTCTAGACTCCATTGAAAAAGAGCAGGAAATATACCGTCGGGTCCTGGTGTTTTGAAGGGTTCAAAACTGCCGACGGCCCACTCTACCAACTCATTCCGTACAACCCGGTTAGCTATCTGGCAGTCATGGCTGCTAAGAGAGTTGTTAAATTTGGTGTAGAAGCATTGAAAAATCTTGCAAAGAACCTGGAAAATGAACATCCATTAGTAAATGCAACGATTCTTCTGGATCCTTGGCAAAACTGCCATCAGACTTTTTTAGAATGTCATAACTGTGTTTTGGCCGCGAGATAGTATTTTGTTTAAGCGTGACGCCTCAGCACCTGTTCACAAAAACCTCTCCAGGCTTGTCGTTTCTTTTGTCGTACTAAACGTTTGAATTCTGACTGGTGTGTTTTGAACAAGGTCCAGTCAGAATTCAGTCTAGTCTGTTTTGCTTTATTAAAAGCTTTTCTGCAAGTGACCCTCAGTGAATGTAGATCAGGAGTCCACCAAGGTGTGATCCTTCCTCTCTCCTTCACAATTCTCTCAGGACATGCACTGTGGAAGGCCTGAGTTAGTGTGTCATTGGGGGGGGCGAATGGCCCCGTGGTAAGCTCTCGGGCTACCACGCCGGCGTCCTGGGTTCGATTCCCAGTGAATACACGCCGAGTCGCCTCCCCGTCCTTCGGAGGGGACGTTAAGCCGTCGGTCCCGGCAACCAGTCTGACATCTCTGGTTGTCGTCAGATACATGTGTAGTTGGAGGTTGTGAACGTAAAAACGGGTTGAAAGCGCGTCTGCGCTCTTTGAGCGGTACTCAGCCATGCACCCAAGTTTCTGGGCGTTGGAGTACCAGCCCGGCTGAAGGCGAGGCGACAAGCGGTATCAGCCTGATCGGATGCCATCTTCGAACATCTTTCACTCCTCCAAATAGACCTACACATGGCCGAAGTAAACCGTGAGGATGAAACTACATACTACATAGTGTGTCATTGAGTAATACTCCAAGTCATCGGTATTTCCAGGAAGGGCATCTGGAAAATCTCGCAATTGCTCATTTAGACAGCTTGCAGAAATGCTTAAGTCAGTCAGCTTTGGATCCCGGACCCTCCTTCTTAAGAGCATAATTGGTCCTAAATCAAAAGTGATCTATGGTCAGGCATAGACGCCTCCTGGCAGTCACACCAGTTGCTAATCTTTTGAGATACGTTCGCCGATGCCAAGGTCAAATCAATAATCGTCTGACACCTAGCATTGACGAACGTGGGTTCACAGCCTTGGTTGATTATTTCCAAGTCATTACTCGTAATAAATTCAAGCAAGGTCTTACCACTAAAGTTTCCTTCGTCACATCCCCAGGCAAGAGATTGAGCGTTGGAGTCGCAGCCTACAATGAGTTTATTTACCTTACTAGCGTTGACTAATGTTGTCAAGGCCGCAGTAGGAGCCATGTCTTCTATAGGCAGGTAGACAGATGATAGAGGAGATACGCGGAGATATGTCTAGGAACGTAATGTCTGTAGGATTCTAAACATCAAAAAGACAAGAACGACAGCACTCCACCCACAGTCTGACGAAATGGTAGAGCGGATGAACAGGACCATCAATCGACATCTAAATTGATATCTGGCACATTTCTGAATGCATTTAAAAGATTTCTGGGTAGACGAGGTGTGTCGATGCATATATTCCGATAATGCTACTAATTTTAAAGTGGCTAAGAATTTAATGTATGCTAATTTAGAAGATTTAGCTAAGGATCCTGATATTTCAAATTATTTTCGTGACATAGGGATCATTTGGCACTTCATTCCCGCAAGAAGTCCTCACTTTGGTGAGATTTGGGAAGCTGCCGTTAAATTGGTGATGAGATCAATCGTAAACTCAAGACCTTTACTTCCTTTATCCTCTGACCCTCAAGATTTGGAATTATTGACTCCGGGACATTTTTTGATTGACACGGCTTTATTGGCAATTCCTGAAGTAGATGTTTCAAAAATTCCTGCTAACGTATTAACAAATTACAAACAACTCCAAAAATTAACCAATCATTTTGGAAAAGGTGGAGTATTTGCATACTCTGCAACAAAGGACGAAGTGGAGATTCGATCGAGAAGATCTTGTGAAGGTTGGAAGTATGGTTCTGCTCAAAGATGACAACCTCCCTCCAATGCAGTGGAGAACAGGAAGAATAGAAGAACTCCATCCTGGTCTAGACGGAAAGGTTCGTGTGGTGAAGATCCATACTTTAGGTGGATCTGTGTCTAGAAGTGTACTGACTTGTGACTGACATCAGTGGACCTTTTGTAAAAAAGATTGTATTGTGTTCAGATATAAACAAATATAAATAATTAAAAAACGTTACATTATTAAAAAATGATCTTATTAAAGGTGAGTTGGTACCAAGACTCCTTCATTTTGCAACCAACAGACAGAAGAACGATGTCGCAAAACGGCCCAACTCATTCCCTTCTAATCAAAAACATCCAACTCTCCGATTTCGGCAATTACAGCTGCTTAGTTGCAAATTCAATCGGGAGGGAAAAGAAATACATCGAATTGAGCGGGAAACCCGGCCCCCCTCAAATAACAAGCCCAGGGTACTCAAATCCATTCGAGTACAACCTCACGTGGAGTGTCCAAAGCGTTTTCCCCATATTGGAGGTTCGAATATTGTATAGAAGAATCCTTGTAAGTTTCTAATCCACATAATTATTTGTTGTAATTAATTTTTTGCTCCAGATAAACTCCTCGTATCACCACCCAGGGCAATGGCACGATTTGTTGGTGAAACCGCGCCAAATCTACCACATTTCAACGAGCGAAAGGCACCAATCCTATTCGATAAAAAGTTTATCCCCGGATTCGGTTTACGAATGTTTGGTCCAAGCGAAAAATCAACACGGTTTCGGGGAGCTCTCCGATTTACACCAATGGTTTTCATCGCAAAAAGGGCGCCCCTTGGTTCACTTGACGTCACAACAAAGTTGGATTCATGATGGGAAAAGAGCCCGATTCGATTGCCTTATATTGATAGTGGTGTGGAATTATTACTTCTAAATCGATCGGTTCAAATTGTTTAATTTTTAAGGTTTATTGTAAAGATTAATAAAAAAATAACGAGCTTTCATTATTTATTAATTTAATCCTAAAAATGTGGGTTAATAAAAAAATTTTTGATATAAATTGGGTTTTATTGAGATTTAAACGATTTTATCTCCCGAACGAAAAGAGATTTTTAAATTTTTTTAGATTCGGTGAAAAGAGGGCACTTTAATCTATTTAGTGCCGAAATTTTATTGCGGTATCTTAAGAATTAGATTTATTATGATTTTTTTTAATTTATCGAAGAAAATTTTTTTCTAAATATCATAAATTCTCTATTTATGTCTCAAATTAAAGCTGAAGATGTCTTCTTTCGAAACTAGTATAGAGTTTAAAATTTTTATATAAAAAAGTTTTGAGAAAAAAATTCATTACTTTTATTAGATAACGTAATTCGATTAAAAATGAGTCAATTTTCAAAAAATCATAACTTATTTATTTATGGAAGTCAAGAAGCGATTTATGTCTCAAATTAAAGCTGAAGATGTCTTCTTTCGAAACTAGTACAGAGTTTAAAATTTTTATATAAAAAAGTTTTGGGAGAAAAATTAATTACTTTTATTAGATAATTTAATTCGATTAAAAATGAGTTAATTTTCAAAAAATCATAACTTCTTTATTTATGAAAGTGGAGAAGCGATTTATGTCTCAAATTAAAGCTGAAGATGTCTTCTTTCGAAACTAGTATAGAGTTTAAAATTTTTATATAAAAAAGTTTTGAGAAAAAAATTAATTACTTTTATTAGATAACTTAATTCGATTAAAAATGAGTTAATTTTCAATAAATCATAACTTCTTTATTTATGGAAGTGAAGAAGCGATTTATGTCTCAAATTAAAGCTGAAGATGTCTTCTTTCGAAACTAGTACAGAGTTTAAAATTTTTATATAAAAAAGTTTTGAGAAAAAAATTAATTACTTTTATTGTATAACTTAATTCGATTAAAAATGAGTTAATTTTCAATAAATCATAACTTCTTTATTTATGGAAGTGAAGAAGCGATTTATGTCTCAAATTAAAGCTGAAGATGTCTTCTTTCGAAACTAGTACAGAGTTTAAAATTTTTATATAAAAAAGTTTTGAGAAAAAAATTAATTACTTTTATTGTATAACTTAATTCGATTAAAAATGAGTTAATTTTCAATAAATCATAACTTCTTTATTTATGGAAGTGAAGAAGCGATTTATGTCTCAAATTAAAGCTGAAGATGTCTTCTTTCGAAACTAGTACAGAGTTTAAAATTTTTATATAAAAAAGTTTTGAGAAAAAAATTAATTACTTTTATTGTATAACTTAATTCGATTAAAAATGAGTTAATTTTCAATAAATCATAACTTCTTTATTTATGGAAGTGAAGAAGCGATTTATGTCTCAAATTAAAGCTGAAGATGTCTTCTTTCGAAACTAGTACAGAGTTTAAAATTTTTATATAAAAAAGTTTTGAGAAAAAAATTAATTACTTTTATTGTATAACTTAATTCGATTAAAAATGAGTTAATTTTCAATAAATCATAACTTCTTTATTTATGGAAGTGAAGAAGCGATTTATGTCTCAAATTAAAGCTGAAGATGTCTTCTTTCGAAACTAGTACAGAGTTTAAAATTTTTATATAAAAAAGTTTTGAGAAAAAAATTAATTACTTTTATTGTATAACTTAATTCGATTAAAAATGAGTTAATTTTCAATAAATCATAACTTCTTTATTTATGGAAGTGAAGAAGCGATTTATGTCTCAAATTAAAGCTGAAGATGTCTTCTTTCGAAACTAGTACAGAGTTTAAAATTTTTATATAAAAAAGTTTTGAGAAAAAAATTAATTACTTTTATTGTATAACTTAATTCGATTAAAAATGAGTTAATTTTCAATAAATCATAACTTCTTTATTTATGGAAGTGAAGAAGCGATTTATGTCTCAAATTAAAGCTGAAGATGTCTTCTTTCGAAACTAGTACAGAGTTTAAAATTTTTATATAAAAAAGTTTTGAGAAAAAAATTAATTACTTTTATTAGATAACTTAATTCGATTAAAAATGGATTCATTTTCAAAAAATCATAACTTCTTTATTTATGAAAGTGAAGAAGCGATTTATGTCTCAAATTAAAGCTGAAGATGTCTTCTTTCGAAACTAGTGTAGAGTTTAAAAATTTTATATAAAAAGTTTTGACAAAAAAAATTAATTACTTTTATTAGATAACTTAATTCGATTAAAAATGGATTCATTTTCAAAAAATCATAATTTCTTTATTTATGGAAGTGAAGAAGCGATTTATGTCTCAAATTAAAGCTGAAGATGTCTTCTTTCGAAACTAGTATAGAGTGTAAAAATTTTATATAAAAAAGTTTTGAGAAAAAAATGAATTACTTTTATTAGATAATTTAATTCGATTAAAAATGAGTTAATTTTCAAAAAATCATAACTTCTTTATTTATAAAAGTGGAGAAGCCATTTATGTCTCAAATTAAAGCTGAAGATGTCTTCTTTCGAAACTGGTATAGAGTTTAAAATTTTTACATAAAAAAGTTTTGAGAAAAAAATTAATTACTTTTATTAGATAACTTAATTCGATTAAAAATGAGTTAATTTTCAAAAAATCATAACTTCTTTATTTATGAAAGTGAAGAAGCGATTTATTTCTCAAATTAAAGCTGAAGTTGTCTTCTTTCGAAATTAATATAGAGTTTAAAAATTTTATATAAAAAGTTTTGTGAAAAAAATTAATTATATTTATTAGATAACTTAATTCCATTAAAAATGGGTTCATTTTCAAAAGATCATAACTTCTTTATTTATGAAAGTGAAGAAGCGATTTATGTATCAAACTAAAGCTGAAGATGTCTTCTTTCGAAACTAGAATAGAGTTTAAAAATTTTATATAAAAAGTTTTGAGAAAAAAATTAATTACTTTTATTAGATAACTTGATTCTATTTAAAATGAGTTAATTTTCAAAAAATCATAACTTCTTTATTTATGAAAGTGAAGAAGAGATTTATGTGTCAAATTAAAGCTGAAGATGTCTTCTTTCGAAACTTGAACAGAGTTTAAAAATTTTATATAAAAAGTTTTGAGAAATAAATTAATTACTTTTATTAGATAACTTAATTCGATTAAAAATGGATTCATTTTCAAAAAATCATAACTTCTTTATTTATGAAAGCGAAGAAGCGACTTATGTCTCAAATTAAAGCTGAAGATGTCTTCTTTCGAAACTAATATAGAGTTTAAAAATTTTATATAAAAAGTTTTGAGAAAAAATTAATAACTTTTTAAAAGTTCGTTAAATCATTATTGGGAAGAAAATTGAAGTTAACAAAAGTAATAAATTTTGTTGTTTAGAATAATTTATTAAAATGTTGTAGTTCAATTTCAAATTTAACAATTATAGTGTCCATATAATTTAAATATTGCCATATTTAAATCTTAATTATTACTTATATGTGTTTTAGTTGTGAATAGATTTTAAAAGTTTTTTATCTTTGTAAATTGTACCAACCAATTATAAAATGCGTAAACTTTCTTGTATTCCTTAAACAAAAACGTTCCTCTTATAATTTTTAAGTTACCCAACCTTATAAGTAATTTACTTTAAGCGCTGCTTCCAGAGATATTTCCCCAAAAAATGGTACTTCGACCATAAGTGGCTTCTGACACATGGTAAGAAAAGTTAATACATCTTTTCTCGTTAACACATCGGCTTCATACCAATTCATATCATAAACTGCAACCGACACACTCTCTGCCTATCATTAAGACAAAACACATTAATTTATTACTCAAAAGAAGCGATTTATGTCTCAAATTAAAGCTGAAGATGTCTTCTTTCGAAACTAGTACAGAGTTTAAAATTTTTATATAAAAAAGTTTTGGGAGAAAAATTAATTACTTTTATTAGATAATTTAATTCGATTAAAAATGAGTTAATTTTCAAAAAATCATAACTTCTTTATTTATGAAAGTGGAGAAGCGATTTATGTCTCAAATTAAAGCTGAAGATGTCTTCTTTCTAAACTAGTATAGAGTTTAAAAATTTTACATAAAAGAATTCTGAGAAAAANTTTAAAGTTTTCCGTTTTATTTCTGGTGAATTTTATTGTATTAATTGAGTCATTAAGATGCTCGATTCGTATAATTATTAATTCCAATGAATACCAATACAATAACAATATGTTTAATAAAACGTTCAGCGTAATATCCATGGTGTATATTTGAAATATCATCAGCAATATCATCACCCACTGATTCAAATCAAAAGGAAAGTAATATTCAACGATAAAGCAATACTTTGTGTTCTTAAAAGTTGCACAGTTATCCCCCAAAAGCATAACGTACGTTATATAATACACGAAAAAAAGTGATACACAACGAATACTTTTTAACGCAAATTTCATATTCTCCTCAATAAATCCAAATCGTTTCGGAACACCATATCTATTAAAATCACTTAATTTTTCAATCATTTCGAACAAACGATCTCGTTTATATAACAGTTGGAAATTAAGAGATTCAAGGAAATAGCCCATCGATACATACTCAATATGAAACAAAACTGTTCTAATGCTCGTCTTATAATCTGAAAGGTAAAAAGAAAGTAACCATAATAAATTCGTAATTTTCTTCAACAACTTTAAACACTAACCTTTAAGTTCTAATAGAAACGGATAAGTTGCCCAAATAAAATTAATACTTATCAAAATAATTGGGGTAAAACCTCGAAGTCCTTGCGATGTGGGCCAACACCGTAATTTCCGAAAACATTGTTCTAAAAGATAAAAACCGGGTGTTTTTGCCATTTTGAATCCAACCGATGCGATTGAATTGAATCGAAGAAATGTGAGTGGAATAACAAATAAAACATTAGTATTAATAATTGAATCATGAAAATTCATTTATAATAATATCTTTAATTTTTAATGCGCTAGTTATATGGAAAGAATAACCTTTTTAACCTTCTTTATTTTTCAATAGATTTTTTCTCAAAACTTTTTTATATAAAATTTTTAAACTCTAAACAGTTTTCGAAAGAAGACATCTTCAGCTTTAATTTGAGACATATATCGTTTCTTCATTTTNTCTCAAATTAAAGCTGAAGATGTCTTCTTTCGAAACTAGTATAGAGTTTAAAATTTGTATATAAAAAAGTTTTGGGAAAAAAATTAATTACTTTTATTACATAACTTAATTCAATTAAAAATGAGTTAATGTTTATAAAATCATAACTTCTTTATTTATGAAAATTAAGAAGCGATTTATGTTTCAAATGAATGCTGAAGATGTCTTCTTTCGAAACTAGTATAGAGTTTAAAATTTGTATATAAAAAAGTTTTGAGAAAAAAATTAATTACTTTTATTAGATAACTTAATTCGATTAAAAATGAGTTACTATTTATAATATCATAACTTCTTTATTTATGATAGTGAAGAAGTGATTTATGTCACTAATTAAAGCTGAAGATGTCTTCTTTCGAAACTAGTGTAGAGTTTAAAAATTTTATATAAAAAAGTTTTGAGAGAAAAATTAATTACTTTTATTAGATAATTTAATTCCATTAAAAATGAGTTAATTTTCAAAAAATCATAACTTCTTTATTTATGAAAGTGAAGAAGCGATTTATGTGTCAAATTAAAGCTGAAGATGTCTTCTTTCGAAACTAGTATAGAGTTTAAAAATGTTGTATAAAAATGTTTTGAGAAAAAAATTAATTGTTTTTATTAGATAACTTAATTCAATTAAAAATCAGTTAATTTTCAAAAAAACATAACTTCTTTATTTATGAAAGTGAAGAAGCGATTTATATCTCAAATTAAAGCTGAAGATGTCTTCTTTCGAAACTAGTATAGACTTTAAAAATTTTGTATAAAAATGTTTTGAGAAAAAAATTAATTGCTTTTATTAGATAATTTAATTCGATTAAAAATGAGTTAATTTTCAAAAAATTATAACTTCTTTATTTATGAAAGTGAAGAAGCCATTTATGTCCTAAATTAAAGCTGAAGATGTCTTCTTTCGAAACTAGTATAGACTTTAAAATTTTTATATAAAAAAGTTTTGAGAAAAAAATTAATTACTTTTATTAGATAACTTGATTCGATTTAATATGAGTTAATTTTCAAAAAATCATAACTTCTTTATTTATAAAAGTGAAGAAGCCATTTATGTCTTAAATTAAAGCTGAAGATGTCTTCTTTCGAAACTAGTATAGAGTTTAAAATTTTTATAAAAAAAGTTTTGAGAAAAAAATTAATTACTTTTGTTAGATAACTTAATTCGATTAAAAATGAGTTAATTTTTATAATATTATAACTTCTTTATTTATGATAGTGAAGAAGTGATTTATGTCTCTAATTACAGCTGAAGATGTCTTCTTTCGAAACTTGAACAGAGTTTAAAATTTGTATATAAAAAAGTTTTGAGAAAAAAATTAATTACTTTTATTAGATAACTTAATTCAATTAAAAATGAGTAAATTTTCAAAAAAACATAACTTCTTTATTTATGGAAGTGAACAAGCGATTTATGTCTCAAATTAAAGCTGAAGATGTCTTCTTTCGAAACTAGTACAGAGTTTAAAATTTTTATATAAAAAAGTTTTGAGAAAAAAATTAATTACTTTTATTGTATAACTTAATTCGATTAAAAATGAGTTAATTTTCAATAAATCATAACTTCTTTATTTATGGAAGTGAAGAAGCGATTTATGTCTCAAATTAAAGCTGAAGATGTCTTCTTTNATTTTCAAAAATAAAGAAGTTATGATTTTTTTAAAATTAACTATTTTTCAATGGAATTAAATTGTCTTATAAAAGTAATTAATGTTTTTCTCAAAATTCTCTTATATAAACTTCTTAAATGCTATACAGATTTCGAAAGAGAACATCTTCAGCTTTAATTTGAAACATAAATCACTACTTTATTTTCAAAAATAAAGAAGTTATGGTTTTTTGAAAATTAACTATTTTTCAATGGAATTAAATTGTCTTATAAAAGTAATTAATGTTTTTCTCAAAATTCTTTTATATAAATTTCTTAAATACTATACAGATTGCGAAAGAGGACATCTTCAGCTTTAATTTGAGACATAAATCATTACTTTATTTTTAAAAATAAAGATGTTATGGTTTTTTGAAAATTAACTATTTTTCAATGGAATTAAATTGTCTTATAAAAGAAATTAATGTTTTTCTCAAAATTCTCTTATATAAACTTTTTAAATGCTATACGGATTTCGAAAGAGGACATCTTCAGCTTTAATTTGAAACATAAATAACTACTTTATTTTCGAAAATAAAGAAATTAAGGTTTTTTGAAAATTAACTATTTTTCAATGGAATTAAATTGTCTTATAAAAGTAATTAATGTTTTTCTCAAAATTCTCTTATATAAACTTTTTAAATACTATACAGATTTTGAAAGAGGACATCTTCAGCTTTAATTTGAAACATAAACCACTACTTTATTTTCAAGAATAAAGAAGTTATGATTTTTTGAAAATTAACTATTTTTCAATGGAATTAAATTGTCTTATAAAAGTAATTAATGATTTTCTTAGAATTCACTTATATGAAATTTTTAAACTCTATACAAGTTTTGAAAGAAGACATCTTCAGCTTTAGTTTGAAACATAAATCACTACTTTATTTTCAAAAATAAAGAAATCATGGTTTTTTGACAATTAACTGTTTCTCAATAGAATTAAATTGTTTTATAAAAGTAAATAATGTATTTCTCGAAATTTTTTTATATAAACTCTTTAAATGCTATACAGATTTCGAAAGAGGACATCTTTAGCTTTAATTTGAGATATAACTCACTACTTTATTTTCAAAAATAAAGAAGTTATGATTTTTTTAAAATTAACTATTTTTTAGTCGAATTAAAATATCTAATAAAAGTAATTAATTTCTCTTAAAAAGTTTTTATATAAAATTTTTAAATGCAACACAGATTTCGAAAGAGGACATCTTCAGCTTTAATTTGAGACATAAATCACTACTTTATTTTCAAAAATAAAGAAGTTATGGTTTTTTGAAAATTAAATGTTTCTCAATGGAATTAAATTGTTTTATAAAAGTAATTAATTTTTTCTCATTTTTTTTTTATATAAAATTGTTAAATGCTACACAGATTTCGAAAAAGGACATCTTCAGCTTTAATTTGAAACATAAATCACTACTTTATTTTCAAAAATAAAGAAGTTATGGTTTTTTGAAAATTAACTATTTTTCAATGGAATCAAATTGTCTTATAAAAGTAATTAATGTTTTTCTCAAAATTATTTTCTATAAATTTTTTAAATGTTATACAGTTTTCGAAAGAGGACATCTTCAGCTTTAATTTGAAAAATAAATCACTACTTCATTTTCAAAAATAAAGAAATTATGGTTTTTTGAAAATTAACTATTTTCCAATGGAATTAAATTGTCTTATAAAAGTAATTAATGTTTTTCTCAAAATTCTTTTATATAAACTTTTTAAATGTTATACAGATTTCGAAAGAGAACATATTCAGCTTTAATTTGAAACATAAATAACTACTTTATTTTCGAAAATAAAGAAGTTATGGTTTTTTGAAAATTAACTATTTTTCAATGGAATTAAATAGTCTTATAAAAGTAATTAATGTTTTTCTCATAATTCTTTTATATAAACTTTTTAAATGCTACACAGATTTCGAAAGAGAACATCTTTAGCTTTAATTTAAGACATAACTCACTACTTTATTTTCAAAAATAAAGAAGTTATGGTTTTTTGAAAATTAACTGTTTCTCAATGGAATTAAATTGTCTTATAAAAGTAATTAATGTTTCCTAAAATTCTTTTATATAAAATTTTTCAATACAATACAGATTTCGAAAGAGGACATCTTCAGCTTTAATTTGAGACATAAATCGTTTCTTCATTTTCATAAATAAGGAAGTTATGATTTTTTTTTAAATTAACTTTTTTTTAATAGAATGAAATGTCTAATAAAAGTAATTAATTTTTTTCTCAAAACTTATTTATATAAAATTTTTAAATGCTATACAAATTTCGAAAGAGGACATCTTCAGCTTCAATCTGAGTCATAAATCGCTTCTTTATTTTCAAAAATAAAGAAGTTATGATTTTTTGAAAATTAATCTTTTTTCAATGGAATTGCATTACCTAAGAGAAATTATTAATATTTTTCTCAAAACTTTTTTATATAAAATTTTTAAGCTCTATACATGTTTCGAAAGAAGGCATCTTCAGCTATAATTTGAGACATAAATCGCTTCTTCACTTTCATAAATAAAGAAGTTATGATTTTTTTAAAATGAACTCACTTTTAATCGAATTAAGTTATCTAATAAAAGTTATTAATTTTTTTCTCAAAACTTTTTTATATAAAATTTTTAAACTCTATACACGTTTCGGAACAAGTTTCTTCAATTTGAAATCGATTCCATCAAAAACATTTAAAGTCAATCTTACGCATTTAGATAAGTAAATTACTTAAGCTATAAACCAAGATAACAATAAGATATCTAGCGGATATTTTCGCAGCTCATTATGTGATTACCATTTATCAATGTGCTCTATAACGATGAATAACATAGAATTAGATAATCTATATATGCGTATAGCCTTGGTAAATGGAATGAGGAGCGTTGAAAATTTTAAGGTAGGAGTTTGTGTTGTTGATCCAAATGGGAAAGTTATTGCAATGGGGCATAACTCAATTTTACTTCCTAATCTTCATAAAACACTCGTCCAAAACAATAATGATTACGCGGTTCGTTACTTGACCAGTAAGTAACTTATAATGCTATAATTAGATGATTTTAGGGTATTAATTTTAGTTGAGTTGGGGATTGAGACAGCCCTCAATGATTCCAACGTTGATTATAAAGGTTCTACCGTTTATGCCACCACTTACCCCACCGCATATTGCGCGAAAGAAATGGTTAAGAAAAAGATTAAACGTGTCGTATTTTATAATGATGTAAGGACTGATTTTCACGACAACTATTATGCAAGTACCAGTTCAATTTTGCAGGAAGGTGACGTTGAGATAAGGTAAAATCAATTTTATCACACTCAATAAAATCGTTTCAATCACGTTTTTTCTTTCAAGTTTCTTTGAAGCTCAAGATGATAGACACCCCGATTACACCGAAAACAACGACACTAAAGCGATCCGGTTGGCTGCAAATCTAGTCAATTTAAAAGAGTACACAACTTATTTAATTCGTAGAATTTAAAAATGGTAAAATTCAAAAAATCGTGGATGGTTTATTTTTGCAAATTATAAATTGATTTTTATACTAAAATAAAGCTTAGGCTGTCCTGTTTAAAATGATGTATATTTCGTTGTTTCAATTTGTGATCGGTTTCATCATCAAATTTTTAAAGAAAATATTATCTCCAAAATTAAATGAGATGTTCAAAACTAAATTTTAAAGCCATAAAATGGATTATCACCTTTATATGTAATGGAAATGTCACAACAATAACAGCCCAAAAACCGATTTAGTACGATTTTTTGATTTTAATGTATCAACGTTGTTAGCTTTTGTAAGCAAGAAAATTTCGCTTAAATTAAAAAAATTCCAACTCAAGAACTAAAAGTGATTTTCAGAAATGAATTTTATCATTATAAAGGTGTCTCTTTTATTTATAAATGACCATAAATTCAATATGATGGATTTTTAGTGATTTTTTGAAAAAAATGTTGATTTTAAATTAATTAGGAAACAGTTAATTTTCAAAAAGTCATAACTTCTTTGTTTATGAAATTGAAGAAGCGATTTATGTCTCAAATTGAAGCTGAAGATGTCTTCCTTCGAAACTTGTATAGAGTTTAAAAATTTTATATAAAAAAGTTTTGAGAAAAAAGTTGATGACTATTATTAGATAACTTAATTCGATTAAAAATGAGCTAATTTTCAAAAAATCATAACTTCTTTATTTATTAAAGCGAAGAAGCGATTTATGTCTCAAATTAAAGCTGAAGATGTCTTCTTTCGAAACTTGTATAGAGTTTAAAAATTTTATATAAAATAGTTTTGAGAAAAAAATTAATTACTTTTATTGGATAACTTAATTCGATTAAAAATGAGTTAATTTTCAAAAAATCATAACTTCTTTATTTATGATAGTGAAGAAGCGATTTATCTCTCAAATTAAAGCTGAAGATGTCTTCTTTCGAAGCTTGTATAGAGTTTGAAAATTTTATATAAAAAATTTTTGAGAAAAAAATAGATTGCTTTTATTAGATAATTTAATTCGATAAAAAATTAGTTAATATTCAAAAAATCATAACTTCTTTATTTATGAAAGTGAAGAAACAATTTATGTCTCAAATTAAAGCTGAAGATGTCTTCTTTCGAAACTTGTATAGGGTTTAAAAATTTTATACAAAAAAGTTTTGAGAAAACCCTTAATTACTTTTATTAGATAACTTAATTCGATTAAAAACACGTTAAATTTCAAAAAGTTATAACTTCTTTATTTATGAAAGTGAAGAAGCGATAACTGCCTCAAATTAAAGCTGAAGATGTTTTCTTTCGAAACTTGTAAAGAGTAAAAAAATTTTATATAAAAAGTTTTGAGAAAAACCTTAATTACTTTTATTAGA